CTAAGTATTACGTATGCATGTGTGTGTGTGTATGTATTGGGTCTGACAGCGCACTTTTCATGTATTTATTTATTTCCCCCTCTCCTAGCGCTGACTTGTTGAACATAATATAATGATATACAATATATACAATGGTTACGAAAACTTGAGAGTGTTTTTTTTTTTTTTATTTTATGGAGTGGAAAACTAGGAAACTCGAAGAGATTTTAAAGGGGGGAAAGCATAATAATGATAAAAATATAATATATTTATAATATTTTTGTTTTATTTTTTGTGATCTTAATATGGGAAACTTTATTCTTAACAAAGTTTCAGTATTAATATACAGTTGTTCCCAAACAAGTTTAATATTAGATCTTTGCGAATCATCTAAAAACAATATATACATATATATTTACTAAATTTTATTTTCTTGTTTAACAAGCTAGGTTATATAATTTCACTCAATTAATTATTACTACATTTTTTTTTATTTTATTATTTAAAGATATTGAGAAAATTAGAGTCAACTAAAACTATAATTAAAAAGCCTAAAAAAATTTACAGTAAATTATTGCAATAGTATCACGTACCCGATGGAGCTAAAATAGAATTTCAAGTTTACATTAAAATAATTATTTATATAGGGAAAATATGGACATACAATTTTTGTCATTATTTGCAACTGTTTTTATTAAAAACTGCAGTTGCTAAAAGATAATGTTCAACTTAACCATAACAGATATCAAACCCTTTTAGCTCAGATCTTAACAAAGTCAACATTAATTAATTAATTTGCAGTGAGGGAACTTTATGGCCTCTAAGGCTTGCATTGAGCAACATTTGCTTACATACATATGTTAAATGTTTGGGGTAGCTGTTGGCTAACAGAGCACACCTCTGCACACCTCTGTCACCTTCAGTGACCTTCACACACTCCGCTGGCATCAAAGAGCTTTGGGCACTTGTACTTGGCAACAAAGTGGGCAGAAGGCGATTTATTTGGCATATGCCAAAACAGTCACTGAGCTAAGTACCTGTGTAGCACCTCAATCTCCTAGTGTATGTGTGTGCGAGTGTGTGTGTGTGTGTGTGTGTGTGTTGGTATCGGACAATCTACAAAGTGTGTACATGTCGCTAAGTAGACACAACTTATTATTTATGGAGTCTACTTAAATGTGAGCTCGTGGAGCTGATGGAGTTGATTGGGTTGGGCGACAACGACAGCCAACGACAGCGGGCGTGCCGCAACGACTGCAACTGGGCCTGTGCGTGAGCCGTGTTGGAGTGGTGCAGTGGTTGGAGTGGTGCAGCTCTTGAAAACCACTTGGTACGCCACACAGTCGTAATCTTGTTCTAAATGAATGTGGCGCAAGATACGCGCCGGAGCCGCTTATTACTTCATATCGAATTTACCTACGTGTCTCGATTGGATATTTGCTTTGGCTTTGGCTTTTCACTCTCCGCAAGCAGCGATCGGCGGTGTCGCATTGATTTGTGTGCGTCGCGCGAGCCAAGTGCGTGAAAGGCCTCTGGCGTGTGGGCACAGCATAGCACAGGCATAGACAACGCCCCACCCCACCTCCTTCCACCACCACCTGGCTATGGCACGGACTGCGCTTGTGGTATCTTGTGTGGCATACGGACGGATGTTGCAATTCGATTAATTAATTAAGTGGAAAAACTGCAAACTGCAAGCGCGCCGAAGGCTGTCTGAATGTCAATGTGCAATTTGTAGTCCATTTGATTAATTAATCCCCCCGCTCATTTTGTACTTCACTCAGAGCTGCTGCTCTGATAAACTGATTGATTGATTGAGATATGTTAGTGCACCAAGCTTCAAGAATTTATTGCAGATCTGATTAAGTACAACTCAATTGTGTTTACATATTTAAAAATAAATTAATTGCAATGAAAATAAATATTTAATATAATTTTAATATTAATAAAATTTGTTTTCAATATTTAATATTTAATATATAAAATATTTATAATAATATTAAAATATTTTATAATAATGTTAAAATATTTTATAATATATATTAAATATTTTATATAGAAAAAAATTATATTAATATTAATATTTTTGGATTATATATTAATTTTCCTTGTATTTTATTATTGTAATATTTATAATGATATTAAAATATTTTGTATAAATCATTTTAAGTTTTTCGTTTATTTTGCAGAAAATTGTCCTTATTTATTTCCTCTTTTCCTACATCTAGCTTCGTTTTTGTCTTCCAACTTAAAGCAAAAATCAAAGAAATTATTGTAAATATGCATTAAAATTGTTTCTTCTTCTTAGCTCAATAGCTATAAAAACTTGTTGTCTATCCAATTCTTATCTCTCAATAATGAATAGCTCCAAGTAACATTTATGTGCACCATTTAGTGTTCAAGTGATCTTACCCGAGATACTTGATTGATTTTTAATTGGTTTTTAATTTCCTGTAGCGCTTATTTTTTCTATCATTGATTTTCCATTTTTCTTATAAAAAACTTTGCTAAAAAAACCCAAATTAACTTCTGCTAATTTTTTACTCAATGGAACTTCCGGCCTTTGCCAACTTCAACTTTTTGAACTATTCAAAATGCAGTTTTAGCCACTTTGCCACGATTTCGGGCTGTGTGGCAGTAGCTCTAGGTTATTTCATATAGGATGTTATATATGTCGAGATTTCTAGCGCTGATCTCTTAGTTTCCATTCCATACTCAGAAGTGAGTTGTAATTTATAATTGTAGATTTGTAACTCTGCACTTATGATACCATAACTAGAGATAATCAATCAAATATGCGTAGGAAATATAAAAAATGTGTCGAAAATTTCCAGCTGAGAATTTTTTTTAGAATTAGCATAGTCTAAATATTTGTAAGCTAATGCATATTTGTGTATCAGGTTTTTATTGACTTGGGCCAAACCAAGCAAGTTT